ATATATTATGCATATTTTAGGACTTACACAACCATTGTCAAAGTATCTTAACTCAAAATTGCAAGAAACTCTGCAATCAATTTTCACCAATCAAGATCAGAGAAGGAGAAGCAAAATTGGGTTTGGAGGCCTCACACATCTCTGGAGCTGTAGGTTGCTCACCCTAGGATAGGCAAGCATTGGTGGTAAATCCACTATACATAGTTTGAAAACAAAACTTGATTGATATTTACTTGAACCTCTCTCTCTCTTTTTTCCTCAAAGTAGTTATTTTAAACCAAAACGAGCTTCAGGGGGAGTACATTTGAACTAGAGGGTGTGCTTAGTTTTAGCCCATCCTTGTAATTCCATACAGACTCTGGGCCTCTCTAATCCAGCTGCTGTTTCTGGAAAGAACTGCTAATTTATCTTGGAATGTTAAATGGTTTGAATCCTCAAACAGCATTCTATAAAGATAAAGTAATACCTGTAGATTGTATATGTCTTTTTCCTTCCAGCCCAGGCTTGTATGATTTAAAACATGCATTATAGGACCATGAGCATCTGAAATATATTAGAAAATTACTGAGCAGAGCAAGTTTATAGAATCATTTGGAACATGTGGAAAGATCTGAGAGCAATATATTCCACAGTTGCTCATTTAGGAAGAGATGTGGGGTCATGTTGTAAAAACATCTAGTTCATTTACCCTTGCTGTAGTAACAAAAAACGTGGCATCCTTTCAGATGAATTTTGATCTATCCTGGTTTATTTTGGCAGCTGTTGTGTTTAGTGATGTGCTCTTTTACAAGAAACACCAAGCATTGCTCCCCAACCAAAATGCCTTGGATCCTTGGGGTTAGAGTTCATGTGCTTCTGTAACTTTGAACTCAGTAGTTTCCTTGCTGACAGCTGCAGAAGGAGAGCTGTGTTTACATCGTAGAATTATATGGCCACCAGCAATTCAGAATTTCCATTTCCTCTTGCATTGTTCTGGAATTTGGCATCCACCATTCCATGTCCTAAAACTTAGCCTAGTGCGCATATTTTCTAGTGCTGTCTTCCAGTGTGCTGTCTTGACTTTTGATTTTGATGTGTTGACCCTAAATGCTTATTGTGCAAAGATTTGTTTTGTTGAGATCTACCTGTTTATGAGGTATTTTAGTACTGGATAGATTAATTTTTCTTATCTATTTCATTTGTGCCCTTCCAAACAAAAATATTTCATCTGATTTTATAAGGTCCTCTGCCATGTTAATGTTCACTATTGGATTCAGACCTCATATGGAACCTTGTTAAGCTGTAGCATAGTGGCTGTTTTCTTCAGTCTGTACATTGTTCTGATTTTTAGTTTGTAATTTAGTAGTCTGCAAAAAATATTCTCTTACAGCATGTTCCATGTTAATAATTGCACCAAGAGTGTGGATGATATGAACCATAAATGCTGAATTGTCAAAATGCTTTGAGTTTTTTTTAAATTCCCCAGATAGCCTAAATGAGATTATATGCATTCATATACATTATCTACTTTAGTTAAAACAAAAATAAAAGCATTCCTCTTAATTTGTCTTTCATTCTTCATCTTATATATCCGTCTCTTTATCTCTCTTTTTTGGCATATGTGCAGTTCTAGCTTTTGCTCTGTATATTTCCTGACCCACCCTAAGATGCACTTAAGAAAAAGATGTGGGTGTGAATTCACACACACACACACACACACACCTTCCTTAATGCATTCTAATGACTGAGATACCCAATGTCAGAAGAATCAAATACAGTTCACATTCTTTTTGTTCCTTGTTTTGTCACATGTAGAGAGCCCTTGTGGATCACAGACAGCCTCCTTTTGGAACCCTGATTTTCAGTCACACAAAGGATACTCTCTATTTCACACACACTCTACTCCTGGAAAGCAAAGAGGATGATGTGGGAGCCAGGCTGAGATAATAGGCTTGTTTTGGTTTCTTCTTCTTATATTTAGAACCTGCACATAGTATGAATGCCTGAAGTGCATGATACAAACACAGAGCCTTGAAATGAAACATTTATTCTTTAGTTACATTACATAACTAGCCTTCATAGTTACATTATTATTAAATGAAGACTAGTTGTAATCTTTTTTGTCCTACTGACCTCTATCTGGTTATATTTTCATTGGCATTCTGATTTGCCAGCAGGAAATAATACAAAAGTGATTGTGTTGAATAGTTGAGCACAAACAAGGGTCAAAGTACATGGCTTTGGCACATGGTTTATCTTTACATTTACTCTCTGTTTTATTTCCTTTGCAGTTGGTCACCTTCATCCTAGCAGCCTTTACACTACATCCTGTTTCCTTCCTCTCTCACCAGTCAGAGTGCCTGAACTCCTGATTTTGTGTTTGTCGGACTTATGATGTTTTTGTTTCCCAGTTTTATTGTATTAAATATTTGTGATCCTTTGGACCTCAGATTTTCCCAATTCAACCTGAAGAAAATAAGGAAATGTGAAAGTGGGTAATAATATAAAAAGATCCAAATGTGGATTGGCTGCCTGGATTTTTTTCCCCCGAGTCTTATATTCCTATGTTTTCTGAAACAACTGTGCAGTAATAATATTTTCTCTAAATTATAAATGGGCAAGAAGTAAATGTCAGTTCACTGATGAACCATAAGCAATTTTTCCTTGGATGATATAATGGCTGCTGCTTACTTACATAGAATACTAGTCATGTGGATCATTATCTGATCCAGACTACACTGGATTTCAGTTGTTAACAGGTAACAACTATTGTTTTTTTAAATCATATTTATGCCTTGAGTATGACAGTAAGTCAGTCACTCCTATTAATGGCATAGCATATTCATACAATATCTTTTATTCAGAAACAATTAGCCTGTTTGTAAAGAAATGTAATAATCTTGATGGAGGAATGGGGGAGAAAAAACAGAAACTCGGTCCTGGGAAAGTATGAGAAAGAAACTCAAAATAAACCTGCTTTGATTCTGTTTGGCATAAAATGGAGTCGAAAGAAAATCTGACAGGCTTTCAAGATTCTGTTGTTATACCCTACAACAATAAAGAACATTCCTGTAATCCTTACAGTGTCTGTTTCCTGAACTGATCTACCTTGAAAGACTGGCACTGTTTTTACTACAGTTTCTTCCTACTTCTTTCTGTATATATTATGCAGTATATAATCCTGATGAGGATTAGAATCCTTTGCATATGAGTTCAGCATTGGTGAGTGGGTGTGTCAAAATCAGCAAGATGGCAGATGGAGCAAGCACAGCCCATTCTGAACATGCAATTGACACATGTACCAAGGGGGTGGGGCTTGCACTGTGATGCCTCATCTGCCATTTTGCCAATTTTGAAGCTCCCCAGATGCCATCTATAAGTTGTAGGGAGGTCCCACTTACAACAAGAATTCCATGACATGGCTTTAAACAAGGTTCTCTCTTGGCCACAAACCCTCAACCTGCAGTATAAGAATTTTTCAGAGCTAATATTGTGAAGTCTTTACCAAAAGATAATGGGTTGGATCCTTGCTTAGAACAGATACATTAAAATCAGTGAACCTAAAACAATTTTACTAAAGTCCCTTTGATTTCAATAGTTCTGTTTAAAACTTAACTAGATTCAAGCTAATGTGTGAGAGGTATTTTTAAGAAATTTACCCTGTGAACAGATTACACCATGTTCCTGATCATGTGATGATTTTCCAAACTCTGTGAAGATTTGGTAAAGTCTCTGACACGTGAAAGTGGACTGAAGTAGCAACCTTTGTGCAAAAGATGTTTCTCACTATGTAGATAGAGCTTTCTAGTTTAACCCTAATTATCTGTGTATTTCTTCAGGGAGTAGCTAAAATGTGGTAAAAATCACTTTCCATGCAGGATTGTTATGGGGAAAAAAAGGAGGAGAAAAAGCTATATAGGCTTCCCTGGAGGAAAGGTGGGATATAAACCTAAGAGTCCTTGGGGTTCTCTGAGCTTGGTTGTTTTCTATTTAATTCTATTTCTTTTTGTCATAGCACTGTTATAG